AAGAGAGAAGAGGATATATGTGAAAGTATGTTCAGTGTACATTTCTGGCACAGTACAGTTATATAAAATCAGTGTTTTTAAAAACCATCAACGCACATATTTAGACATATAAAGAAACATTGTACTGTATTTTTTTATTTGTGCAGTGATGAAAACATATTTGTTAACACTATAGGCTTAACAACAAGGCTGTTTTAAAACAGCTAGTGCTTGAATAATTGAGTTAAATTTAAAATAAATGCTGTGGACATACAAATAACAACCCAAAGTATTCCCTCAGAATCATGCATATTAAGCGTCTGCCACAGAGCATTATTTGACGCTACACCACACACGATGCCAAAACCGGAACGTTCTCTTTTGTAAATCAAATGTAGCATTGACTTAACACTTCTATTATTCAACAAGATACTCACGTTCATAAATGACTAAATTAACAATAAGAATAACAGAACAAATAAGAAACGTACCTTGGTCTTCTGTGGTGGCACTTGAGGCTTCTTTGTCTTTGCTGTGGTCTTCCTTTTCCTCACCGTCTTGAACCATAGCTTCAGCTTCTTTAGAGAGGCCCAGGCTGTGCGACGGTCGTTGTGAGTCCACCTCTGGCTCATCCTCTTCATCGTCATCGTCATCCTCTTCATCTTCATCTTTGCAGAATTTCAGTCTCTTTACCTCCTGTTGCTCTGCTTCCATGTCCTCCTCTGTGTGCGGATGTTTGGTCTTTACTGGACCCTCGAGGGGCTCTTCTGACCCTGAAACATCACTGACCAGCAAAAAAAAAACTGGATAAGAGCAAAGGTCAACACAAAACACACAAGGTTCAAGCAGAGACTTACCTATTTTCTGTTTCTCCTTCTTGTTTTATGAGGTCTTTATTGTCTGTGCTATCTGGTAGACCATTAGCTGCAAGTGAATTGGCAAGAGACACCTTTGGTCGGTTTAGTGGTCGGGGGGTTCCTGGGCCATTTACCTTCCTAAAGCAGATTAAAAAAGAAAATATAAAACTCAAAAAATCTCTTCCCCATTGACCAAGTACCTCTACACTGAACAGTCAACTGTGTTGAGTTGAGTAAGGCAAAACACCTATACCTATGTTTTTGACATAGTTTGTAATAGTAAAAATTGTTTTGTCTTTCCCATTAAATTGCACATTTAATGTTTGCTTAAACATCACTGGTCAAATCAGATATTGCAGCTTGAGTTTAAAGGGTTTTGACAACCCTACCCTACATATAACACAATTTTTTTTTTTTTATATAATAATAATCCAGACTTGTTAGTAAGAAAATAATTTACCAAAATTGTCTATTTGGACCAGCACAGCAGCAGTGAAAGTGTCAAATGTGAGTCATGAAATTGATCAGCAACAAAATCTAGTCAACATACTCAAAAAAAAAACATTATTTTAACCTCTCTGTAAAAGCCGATGTGTTCCCAGGAAGCATTACTCCATTCATTCTATTGACAGTGCTGCAGCCATTTTTCCTGTACAAGCAACAGATTGCAGTTAAAATGTTATATCTGAGGATGACAAAGTAGAGAAAAAAAGTTTAATTTTATCAAAACACTTACTCTGTTGTTGGGTGAATACAGCTTACTACCATTACGTTCTAGATGGACAAAGAATTTCAGAATGAGAAAAATATTGAATGCTAAACTGTATTGGTGACTTCTTTTAGAAGTGATTCTTGTAAAACTTTACCTTTTCAACTCCTCGCAGAAACTTGTCTGTTCCTGTGTAGTTTCTTTTTGGTTCTGTAAGTAGCTCACACAAGCGTTGGATTGTAAAGGGAATTCTATAATGTAAAGAAACCTTTAGTAAGTAACTTTAACATTGTATTTGAGTCTTTCACTACAGAAACAGTAAAATAATTGCATTTACATGACCATGTTTTAGAAATACCCACCCGTTGTATCCTCTCACAATCTTTAGAATTCTCTCCTTCATGTCTTCAAATGGAATGGACTCCACATTTGCATTTGCAGGGACTCTTTGCTCTGGCGCTGATGCTCTGAAATCATCCATTACCTTCTCCAATTTAAATAGGAAATAGTTCTTGAATTGAGACCATTGAACCCTAAACATGGGAGATAAAAGTTTAGTGAGAAAGTAATAACCCAATCATTACATTTTCATTGCACTGTACCTGTAATAAAGAAGACCGGACTATATAAATATTTATGTATTTTTTTTTATATATTAGAAATACAAGCCACATTTCAGCTAATATTTTCTTGTTTATGAATGTTCCCGTATATGGTGGTGCAACACTTTCTGAACAGAATTATTGTGCTATAATAATAATAATAAAGTAGATATTATGTACTTACATGGTCTCTCCTGTCTTGGCAACATGGCATAGAAATTGTTCAAGGATGGGACATGGTTCCTTCTTTGACTTTTTATCAAAGTCTGAAAGAAAGTAAACAATGGTTACACCAACACACATTTTGATTCACTTCAAAGCATGTTTATCAATGGACAGCTTATGTAATCTAATGTTAGCTACGATTTTTATTTTATTGTGCATAACACGCGGTGATTTAATGACAACGTACAAGCTGGTGATCCCATCCACCAAATAACCTCAGCTACTGACATAACAGAGCCAGAGTGTTCGTGCTGTGGTTTCATCTTGTCCAGGCTAACATGGGCTAGCTCAAATGTAGCTTCGTTGCTAAGCTAAGCATTGGACTGCATTTTAAAGCAAAGCCGGCAAACTTGAGTCAAGAAACAATGAGAGACGCCTTACAAACTATTTCCAGATCACCGCTGTACTTGTAAACTTGCTGTCACACTACAAAGATTGATAAAGCTCATCATATTTGTTTTCTATCGGGGATCATTTGTTGGTCAAATGGCATTTCCGTGAAACTGCGAGTACTAGCTTGCCTAGGCTATCACTTAGCAAACTGAGTTAGCCTCTCATATAACCCATTTTACAACCACATAAAAGTAACTGTAGAAAATAAACATCGGACAATACATTTGAACAATAACGTTTGGGATGGAGACAGTAATGACCTCGGAGCGCCTCTTGAAGCGAATCAATTTCCATCACGTCGTTTCCCGGTGTCAGTGCACTGATGTTGAAAGGCAGACTAGCGGCTAACGGTTACAGCGGCTAATGCTACACTCGCTCAGGCAGCGGAGAGGGGGAGGGGTGTTTTAATATTACGTCCTCACGTCACAACGCGCGTACGCCACGGCTGAGCGTAGAGAAGACTTCTGTAGACAACAGCTTTTTCTGTTCTTGGCTGGAGTGCTCAACATGGCATCGTCCATTATCAGTGTTGGGAATGTGACTTTTAAAATGTAATCCCCTACAGATTACAGATTACACACCTCAAAATGTAGTTTGTAACGTAATCCATTAAATTACTTAAAGTGAGTAACGTAATCTGAATACGTTGGATTACTTGATATTGTCATGCTTTTTAAAACTTCATGAATGAAGCAACCACATCCTGAAAATTCTTGTTTGTTCAGTCTTTACTTGACCAGACTAAAAATATTATTGATAGAGAAATGATTTTTATATGAGGTCACTACTGCCTTAAATTATGTCCATCCTACTGTTAGTGTCATATTGTATTAGTTTAGTCCTGGTTTTAGACCTGGTTTAGACTTGGTTTAGTCCTGGTTTTAGTCCTGCTTTAGTCCTGGTTTTAGTTCTGGTTTAGTCCTAGTTTAGTCCTGATTTAGTCGTGGTTTAGTCCTGGTTTTAGTCCTGGTTTTAGTCCTGGTTTTAGTCCTAGTTTAGTCCTAGTTTAGTCCTGGTTTAGCCCAAAATGTAAAACAGGAAAATACCGCCATGTAATCCATTAATTTTAACAAAGTAACTGTAATCCAATTACCACTCACTGAAACAGTAACTGTAACTGAACACAGTTACTCATAATTTGTACTCTGATTACGTACCATTACATGTAATCTGTTACTCCCCAACACTGTCCATTATATTATTAAAATGAGGATACATGCACTAACATAAATACAAAGCATAAATAATGTATAAGAATGTGTGCTTGTATATACGTCAATATAGATTAATAGGCTTGTATAGTCAGTGTTGGGAAGGTTACTTTTAAAATGTATTCCCCTACAGATTACAGACTACACACACCAAAATGTAGTTTGTAACGTAATCCATTAAATGATTTAAAGTGAGTAATGTAATCTGAATACTTTGGATTACTTGATTTGCTGTAGAGAAGCAAAACTACCATATCGTAACATAAGATGTTTTGTCTGATAAAAGAAAATAAAAAGCCCAGACTTTACTCAACAGTATTAAAAATATTATTGATAGAAGACGAGGAAACACGTCCGCACAGCATGAATTAGTCCTGTTAAATCCTGTTTTGGTCCTGTTTTAGTTGTTTTAGCCCTGGTTTAGTCCGGGTTTAGTCTTGTTTTAGTCCTGGTTTTAGTCCTGGTTTTAGTCGTGGTTTAGACCTGTTTTAGTCCGGGTTTAGATCTAGTTTAGTCGTGGTTTTAATTCTGGTTTAAGTCCTGGTTTAGACCTGGTTTAGATCTAGTTTAGACCTGGTTTAGTTTCCAGCAATGAGTGGAATTACCGAAAAAAAAAGAAAAAAAAAAGGTGGGGTATAGCCCAAAATGTGAAAACAGGAAAATACCACCGTGTAATCCATTTATTTCACCAAAGTAACTGTAATCCAATTACCACTCATTGAAACAGTAACTGTAACTGAATACAGTTACTCATAATTTGTACTCTGATTACGTAACTCCGGTACATGTAATCTGTTACTCCCCAACACTGTGTATAGTATATTATATTGGCGTCTTTTGGGCTTTTTGTTGGTTTTGTTTTGCACAATCAAACTTGCTTAGAATGGGCAGCCTTTATGCTGCAGTTGTAGTTTACTACGAGGAGTACTAGACTATGTTTGAAGATAACAAAAGCAATACTGAATACCATGTAGAAAAAGGTTGAGTTCTTTCAAAAACAAACAAAGGCTACATATTGCACTGCTTTCTTCAAAAAATCCACCTTTACTTAATTCCAGTTCAATGACATGACATTATATCAGAAATACATCCAGGCATACTCCTCTATCTCAAACAGTTTTTAGATAATAGAAAATATGACACATGTGATGTTTCATATGGCACACACTCTTCTTACACAGTTGGTTCAGATTCACTGAGAAAAAAAAAAAAACTCTTGCCCTGATCTGTGCAATTCTCAAAGTGCATTTCAGCATTCGGTATGTTTGGCAAAAGTATTTTTTTGTGCTGCATTTAATACTGTCATTTGGCATTGCACCAAAATTCAACCACAGGCTTTCTTTTCAAGTAAAACATTCACATCTTATAAGAGTGGTTAAAGACATTGTAGTAAAAGGTAAAACTTAAAAAAGCATCAGAGTAGAAGTGCACGGTAAACATGGGACACCATTTGGCATGTCCAAACCGAGCACACTTACTGAAAGCCAGATGGGTAAACGGTTTAATACATAATTCAACATTTAAATTTGTCATTCAATTTTAAAATGTATTTCTGAAAAAGAGGCTTCACAATAAATTAAGTGGTCTTCATAACACAGTTCAAAGATGTCCATAATTTTCAAGTTTGTGCTTTTTGTGTTAGTTATTAAACATCTTATTACTGTTTATTTCTGGGTATAGCAAATTATCAATGTGATAATAAATATAATTTGGTGTAGTGTTGAAATTTGCTCAATAAAGATAATTCAGTTTGTATTGATATAAAATGTATATTTTATAAATTTGATAAATAAGGAAACACTCAAACCATAACAGTCAGATTAAGCCATACTAAGACCACTGTACTACTGTGACATGTCTTTTATGCGTAGTAATTTTACCCCATATTGATTTGATTGCTCTTCCCCTTACATTCATTGCATGAAAAATAAAAAAGGGTGACTACTGATAAAATAAAATTTTAGGGATAAAATATGTACACTGATTTGACAAAACAATCCGAACACTAAATTAAAGTAATTTGACACATCATTGTACACATGAAGCCTTAAATAAAATATATATATCTTAAAAAAAAAAGCATTCCCCCTTTGGACCAGTGAATGAGGTCTGTCATGGAACATGACTACAACAGAATATGATGATGATTTACTTGACAATATGAGATGCTGGTTTTAAGGGGATGTAGAAAAGATGAAAGGCCTTTCTTCAAACATGAAAAAACATTTTCACTTCAATTTAATAATTTTGTTCACAGGTGGCAAATGAAAATTACATGCTGATCATGCAGCATCAATGACCTGCACTGTATGCTGCTCATAGGTTCATTTCTTCATATTTCCTTTCCTGTGTCAATTAGAAGGCTCAACAGAAGAGTAACATTCCATGGCTTGAGTGATACCAACACAATTATCACTGTTTGTTTTCTGTTCTTCACACCAGCAGCTACTTGCGGGGCCGGGCATGGCGAATCACTTTGTCCTCAAACACTTTCCTCATAGTCTTTTCTATCTGCTTCAGGAAAACTTGAGGGATTCGACCACACAAAGTGTTGACTGTGTCAAGGAACTTAGTCTGAATGGGGTAGAACAGGGATTGGAACATGTTGTCTTCAAAGGGATACTGCAAGACCAGAAATTCATTATGTTAAGTACATGAATACACATGTTCTTTTTTATAATGCAATATTCTGTATAAGTTCCCCAAAACACACATAGGTGAACCCAAATAGTTAATAATGAATTAATGCGGAAGAGAACAGTAGACTCATGCTGTGCCCCTGAAAAGGAGTAAAGAAATTTGTTGGTATAATGGGCTTGGAATATCTAGAATATTTCTGTGTACAGTCATTTGTTATGTTACATAGAAAATGTATTTTATATAAAGCTATTTTGCACCAAAGTTAATACTAGCTAATATCCAAACAGTGCTACTGGTTTAAAAGTATTTCATAATTAATCAGGACATTATCATTTTAGAAAAGGCCTGCAATAATTCTTAATCTTAGCAGAACTTTCAGGGCATTGTCAACTGAACACCAAATGAATCAATATAGATGTAACGGCATTCTGCATTGTCATACTTACCACCCAGCTAGAGTTTAAGGGGCTTATCTCAGCAAAGCACCACTTTTTGTGTCTAGATAAAAACACATAATTTACAGACTGACCTAGATGAGTAAAGGGTTGCCCTTTTCTTTCATTTGAAATTAAAAGAAAATCAGACTGGACGGTGTCATCAGATAATTCTTTATATTGTATAATACTTTATAATGTACATAACGCTTTGATTCTTTATATTCTTTATAATGTACATAACGCTTTGATTCTGTCATGATTTGCACTGAATTGGAAAGAATGGGAGACACATGCATGAACACCCATACTAACCATACTCTTATATTCATGATATACATTTTCTAATTAGTCCTTTTCATCAGTAGATGAGCAGAGACCGAGATGCCAACCTCTATATTAGAAGATGATGTGCACCAATAGGAGGCGCTATTCTTCCTGGTGATACAGTATAGGTAAAGGACACTCACATCACGGATTGCATCATAGACAACTTTGAAGGCCGGCTGCTTGTCATCATGATACACTCCGCGGTTTCCATGCAGAATGGACACACCCTCCTGTTCGGCCCCTTTACAGTTGCTTCCATACATGCAGTGGTCAGGCCTGTAATTCCACTGGCAGGGGAAGATGAAAAGACACTCTACAAAGAAAAATGAAAACCACAAACACCACTGGATTTTAGGAGATCCTCTAATAATAATAATAATTAAAAAATCTACCATGAAGAAGTGGAAGGTACATAGAAAAACGGCTAACATTACTGTTTCAGAGTTAAGCAAAATTAGAACACAGAGTATATTATTTATAGTTTTAAGATGCAAAAGTTGAATACAAATTTGAAAAAAAAAAAAAAAAAAAACTTGCCATGTAACCTTATATAAAGTCTCTGTGTAATCCCTTAGTCGTCCAGGTGTGATCCATATAATAAAGTGATATGTTTGCATTTTTATGTTTTCACAGTCCACTTACTTATCATACAATACTTAAACCTAAAAATGTAAATGTTTTAGCACATTTCTGATAAATTGCCATAATATATATAGATATACATTTTTGTCCCTATCACTCCCACCATTATGTTAATACCAGCTATTTTATATGAAAATGCAACTAGCTAAGTACTTTTTGATTTTCAAGCCGCTCAAGGCAGTCTAAATAGCTCTTTTCAGCTAAAATGGGTCAGAGCTTCGACAATTTCCCTCTGGAGATGGAAGAAAGCTTTAGGCCTTATCATCTAAAACAAACACTCCACTTGACTGTGTTTTCAAGCAAGCAGCCCTGAAGATAGCTTTAGCACTTAGAATGCACATCTGGCCTCTGCATCTGGTTCATCTGTTGCTCCAGTCTGTGGTTTGCCAACAGCCTCATTCATTTCATAATTCATAAAGAAATAATCATTTATGCTCAACAGCAGTGGCATCTTTGTAATCTTTAAAAATGGTCCTGGATGTATTTCTTTTTCCTTTAAGTCAGGTGTTGTTTTAATGACTCTTCAACAGTATATCACAACTCTTTACTAGGAATGGTGAAATACTGCTGAAAGGTGTTACTGGTAATGAATGAAAATGTGTTACCAAAAACTGAAAAATCTTTTGATAACAACTATTGATTGATGCCTGGTGGCTCCTGGGAGATCACTATTGAAAGTTACTGTTACCACAAAAATGATATAAGAAATTTTCCTTTGAAGAAAATGTACTTAAAGTTGTTGTCTTTTGCCATTTTAGATAATAGTTCTAGATGATAACTATGTCAAAAGGTATGAAAATATTTGTTAGAGAAATTCCATTTCTGTGCTGTACTGAGGGCACTCACTGCCATCTCAGTCTTTGTCATCTTAGACCTCGGTCATAAGAGGTCTAATACTCCCTACAAAGAAAGCATAGCCAGACTGGACTGTACTAGACTGGAATCAACGACACTACAGTGTCTTGATTGTTCATGCCTCTGGGTGCTGGGTACTGATGGTAAATAAACTCCTGCGTTAGAACTCCAGCATCATGCCTCTTCTTTTTAACTCTCAAGCTATTACAATTTACTCTACAACTGTATTGTTTATATATTGGTATCAAAACAGGATACCATATTAATTAACTCTTGTATACTGTTTTAAATGGAAGAAAATGAATCAACAAGTATTCCAACAATTTCTAAAGATATATAGATATAAATCCATTAGTCCATTCATCAATTTAAGAACCAATATTCCTAATAAGAAATGAATTAATTTGACCACAGTATCTGTGCATTGTTCATTACCTATGTATTAATTCCACATTCACTAAAATACCTTTATTTATCCCCTAGGGGCAATTTAAATATTGTATGGGCAAATTAAAAAGAAATCTGCCATCACAACGCTCTGTTCCTGCTTCTTGCCTCCAGTCACCTACAGCCAGAGTAATTTAACACAGAGTTCAGTAGGACAATATGCAAATGGTACCTGGGTTGTAATGAAAAATGATGTTGAGGAGGTCCTGGTCACCCCAGGTGATGTGGTTCTTGTACTTCTGGTAGAGTGGATTTAGCAGATCCTCCCACGACAGGCCACTGGGGATCATACTGTTCTGCAGTATAAATAATAATATGTTCACTCACAGACAGCTCAAGTCAAGCCTCTTTCAAAATACACACAATCATCAAAGCAGACCCAATTTACATTTGCCCTCCCAATTGCAAACGGCTTGCAGCACGAAGAGCTGCTAAATTGAGTTCTGAGGGCAGAGTTCTGTTCTGCCAGTGTGGTAATCAGTACACTTCAATCACAACCCACTCACAGCACTCAGCCAGTGACTCAGGTTCAAAGTAAAACCTAAACATCTGCCACTGATCAGAGAGAACAACAATGACAACAAGTCTCCTTCCTAATAACATTGCCATTTATTTTATATATTAGAAGCAAAAGGTAAAAGGCAAAACTGGATTATACTAAAAAAACAAAAACTAAATAAAAAGGGACAAATTTGGACCTTTCTTAAAAAATTTGCTCAGCAAAGAACTAGTTTAACCACCACGTGATATCAGTTAATAAGTACAATTATTTTGTGTTGAAAATTACATAGAACTTTATGAAAAACTTCAGCATAGCAACTAAAAATAAACTGGGAAAAGTGTTAAGAGAACTATCACATAAGAGTAACACCTCTCTCTACTGTGTCTTTCTTCACCATTACAGTTTGTTTCTTACTTTGAACAGTGTGCTGCGGATCCGCGTGAGGTTCATGAGCATCACTCCAGAATTAACCCCTGTGACCCCGTAAAAAGGATGCCGTGCGAAGCGGCTGTACCATCCGATCTTTGGGACCTCATGCTCTGGGGCCATGGCGGCAAGTTGGGAGCTGTTGAAAGCTTTAAAGAAACTCCAGACATCATCCATGGGCCGGAGGAATAGTACATCTGTGTCAACGTAGAGCAAAGAGTCTACATCCTTCAGAATGACCTATGAAAAAAAATATTACAAAAAATAAAAATAAAACCAAATTTACCTAAGTAAAACAGTTTGCATTGATTTAACTTAACCCACTTCACCACAGATACCAAGGATTGTGTTAAAAACTTAAAAATTAGCAATTTACTGTAGAATACTTCCAGTCATAATGTAGGACGAAGTCTAAAGTTAAAGTAATGAACTACACGAGTATGAGACAGGAGACTGCAGATAAGAACCATCTGTGGAAGGACATCTTAAAGATTCAGGCTGCACTCCATCTGTGACTGAAAACACTGACTCAGCTACGAACAAAAAGATAAGTTCAAGACGAGTTTTACTTTCAGTGCAGACTGCCGGATCATGCTGTCATAGATGGCAGATAAACTCCAGAGGGGGAGTAGATAAGAGGTGTTTTGCAACTCCTAAAAATCGTAAGACTGCTAGCAACAAAGCATACAATAGTGGCTCTAAAGGTGCATTTATGCAAAAAATATGATAAAAGGGGAAACATTCCTGTAAAGTAGCCCTAAATAAAGACTGAACAAACACTTCAGTCATAATAAGCAAATTGTTTATTAAGAATGAATACTTACCCTAACCCTAACACCTTAAGTAGTTGCTAAACCTAAATAAACTATTTGTTCATCATAAATTAAGTCTTTGTTTATGCTTGATTTGGGCTAATTAAGGTGTAGATATTAGAAAATAGTACCAAACTTTGTTGCTGAAAATACCAAAACATATTACATACAATCTATCCGTTATTCAAGCTTTGGTTTCTTTGTCAGTAATACTCAAATCATAATGATTGTTTTTATGTTCAAAGGCCAAACAAAAAAAGCTAAAAAAATAAATAATTTATTTTAGGCTACTTTGATTTTTACTATAACACTTACAATGTGTAAGCAAATGATGTTAATGCATAATATATTGATTTGGCTACAGCAAGAGAAAAAAATCAGCTATGGACCCTTTCGACTTGCACTATACTGATTACATGGTAAGTGAGTTGGCTGATATTTCAATGAATAGCAGCTTTGAGAGAGAAATAAATCAATACGTAGGCAGGGGTTTTTCACTTGATAGAATTACTGGATTTGATCTCTGGAGATTTGTTAACTAAGCTTTGCAGAGGTGGTGTGAAATCATCAATAATTGCCTAAGTAATTATAAGCAGTCAGAGGAGTAGAACAACTGTGTGAATGGAGAGGTAAATTGGATTGGGTTGGCTGACATGTTAATTAATGACATTTTGAGGGGATACTTACAGGGAGGAAGAGTCTCTGTGCAGCACATGGCTTGAACAGCTTCTTCCACTCTTCCGCATCACCCACTGAGAAGGTGATGGGGTAGATGGTGAAGTGAAACTTAGCTGTGACAGAGCGGGGCCACTGCTTCAGCTGTAAATGCAATGGTACACAGATTAATATAGTTTGTCTTATATGATAAAGATAATATAACATGCCCAAAAGATTTCACCACATGCCCTAGTCATCTGTGATTACAATTTCCTGTAATCTTAGTATACATACATACACACACATATGTATATTCCAGTTAGTAACTAGTAGTAACTCACAGGGTTAAATTTCAATATCATTCAGTACATGTACTATTTCAACACACAGAAACAAAACCACTATTCACTTGAGGCAAATACAGCCACCACGTATGGTTCAATGTATGCAGACTGAACATAAATGTCACCATTTTAATTATTTCAGAGGAATACAAATGTAATATAACTACTTTTCCACAACTTGCTCAAATTGCTCCAATTAAACATGAGTGTAGTGAGCCAGAGCGGCATGTGGCCTTAAATATTCACAGACACATGAAGCAACAGATGTTTTACTGCAACAAAATGCCTGGCAAAGACCAAAGATAATCTGACTAATACAAACACAATTAAAACAATGAAGTCATGCAGTGTGGTGTCCAATACAGCTGTTACTTAATACAACCTCCTGTAGCACTAAAGCATGTATCATTTGACCCACTGGGCTCTATTGGTTTAACATTTGACCCTGAAATGTGTGAAAGTGTTGCAATAAGCACTTATTTTACAGACAAGAATAAGAAACGCAAATCACAGCTTATGTCTTAAGAGAGTTGCTCTCTGAAATGTATGCAGCATACTGAACAGTATGTTCTAAAGCAGCTGGACTCTCTGGCTGCCACATGGGATCTTTCCACATATGGGAACGATTCACATGCAAGTCATGGCTTAAAGTAAGGTTTAATGGAAATGCTTCTTGCATAGGAAGTAGTGGTTATAACTGGATTTTCTAATTGTTATTTAAAGGCCTGTAATGATTCGTCTAATTGTATCAAGTCAACTAAAGATTATAATCGTAGTTGTATTTTGATGATCATTATTTTCAGGCCCAGGTCTACAGTACAAAAGGGTGCATTGCAACCTCGGTTAAACATGTTTGCAGCCTCATTTCAGGCACCTAAAATAATGCCACTTACTAGAAATGGAAGCCTATTATGTTTGCACCCCTTTGAAACTCAAATGCACCCTCAGTCAGTTTGGCCTGCACCTGGGCCTGATTATGTGGGCTTTACAGTCTATAAAACACAAACAAAAGGTAAGGTCTCAAAATAATATCGTGGGCTGTCACAATATATCGAGTTACAAGTTCCTTTGCTTAAATGCATTGTTTTATAGTGGTGCAGACAACATGAAGACATATGTCTTTTCAAGGTATTTTAACAGCAATAAGTGTCTTTTCTACAATTCTCTATTAGATATTATTTAGAAGCCTTTAGTCAGAATATTTCAACCTCTATTTAGTGTATAATGTATTTTAAAGTCCTCAATGACTAGTCAACTAATCAAAATATGTATCACTGTCTAGTCAACTAATGAAATAGCTGTTAGTTGCAGCCCTAGTTATTTGGTTCCTATATTTTAGATTGTTCAATTTTAAAGGTGCATTATGTAACTTTTCTGGCAGAGGGCCTGTCAAATGCTTTTCTCCATAGAGATGTTATTGCTTTGTTTGGAATGTTGTACAGTATTATGGAGACCAAGCCAGATCAAATTATAGGTCAGATTTGTGAAGAGTCAACTCCGCTCACAGTCAGAATGAATTTGCTTGGTATTTTTGAGATATAAAACCACCTGTAATTCAATAAATGTGAGGTAGAGCTGTTTAATGTCATACTGTGGAACATTCCAGGCAGAGCAATGACATATCCATAGAAACAAGCAGGTGATGGACCCCTAACCAAAAGGTAACATAGTGCACCTTTAATTAACTTAAGTCAGAAATGTCCAAAAATGCTGTTTGCTGGAGTTGGTTGTCTTTTTATCATGTTTTCACATTTTTAAACCTTGGATTGTCAAAATGGCTATGGTGACGCTGCCAGTTACAGGAGCGGTGTAACTAATCAGAATGAGAGCAGGCGCTGCAGCAGAGGTGACTTTGAAGTGGGGAGCAGTGCTCGGGCAAAGCGGGGTGTCTGAGTGATATATTACGCCCCAGCTTTGAGATAAAAGGGTTATGTGTCTGTACTACCGGGAGTCACAAGGGGAGTTAAAACTGCTCTGATCTTGTCATCAACTATAAAGCAAGGCAGGGTGTTTAACATGCACTGCACAAAATCTGGAATCACAGAACTGGAAAAGAATGCATCCGCCAGTTGGGAATACACGACAAGTCTGACAGGGAGAATCACTCATTGCAAAGCTTTACCTACTGACATGATCTTACCCTCTCTTCAAACAGCGGGGCCAGTGGGTCTTCTGCAAATATGTGAAATGTGATCTTCTTCAAGCTGAACAGGAGGGCCGATTTAACCATGGTCAGGGTCTCGTCCAGACGGTTCCCACAGGCTACCACAGCCAGGTGCATGTCCTCCCCCGCTCGGGCTCGTTTCGTCACAGGTCGGCCCACATTGCTTCGCTGTTTGCTGGAAATAAAGATAAGGAGCAATGAAATACTACATGGTGTAACTCTAACCGGGGAATAGAAGACTCAAAAGAAAATCAGTTTGAACAGGTTGGATTCATTCTATAAATCCTTTTAAATATATGGTTAGCCATACAAAGTCATTTTTAAAACTGTGAATATAGCAAATTTAAAACACAAATTAACTAGTGTTAAAGAAATTGCATCTCTCTGCTGTGTTAGCCCCACACAACCAGTTCAGGCCTAGTTATCTTAGCCTATGTCATCAAAGGTATAATACTCTAAACAAGATTGGACAGTGCAATCAATATGTCTAGAGGATTCATGTCTCTGGTGCTGCATTAACAGAAAAAAAAACAACAACAACTGTGTTCGAACTCAAGTCTCATGTCTTTTATTCCAATTCAGTTTATGCACAACTAGACCTTTTAAAATCTTGAGTTAACCCGTCAAATGAAACAACTGACTGAGTAAGCAAGCACTATCTGCATTATCTTGCAATGTAAGGGCTACCAGAGTGGTCCCATTGGTCCTCTACTTTAAACAGCTCAAGGCCATATTCCAGATCTGGAAGTTACTCATTGTGTAAGCCTTGTTTCCATCACTCATCACTCACAAATTTGATGAGTTGCAATGTGTATAAAGTGATTTTGCAAATGCCAGTATTCTAAAACATCGGTTAAATTCAGCAGTAAAAAACTGAAACATTTTTCATTACAAATAAATCAAATCAGACCCATATTAAGCATTTACTTTGTTTGTGAAGTTTACAGATTGCCTGACTGGATACACTCCTTGTAACACTGTTTACAACTTTACATAATGGGGCTGGAAGAAAGATGAGACTTTATAAGGTGGTCCACATAACATCTCTGGTGCAGGGTTTGTCACCTGCTTGTTCCAAAGTTACAGGTCAGATCTGTGGAGAGTTGACCATGCTCACATAATATGTTTTGGTATTTTCTAGCAATACACTTAGATATAAGAATAGATAAAAGAATAAATCCAAAATAGATTAGCTTAATTTTGTACAGCTATAAAATATTAAGGGCAATGTTAAGGGCACTTCTCAAAAAAGTGTAAATGTCTTGATAATATGCGTGACATTTTAATTAATTCTTAGCTTATGACAACGCTTGTGTGACTCTGAAACAACTGTCTGGATTCGTTCATTTCCAGAACATGTGTTAACCCTGCTCAAGTCTATTAAAGAGAGCACATGGTTCTAATGACAGTATCATCTACTATTAAAAGACCTACAGCACCAGCTGCCACCACCACAATTCCCACATGCCTCATCTCGGCCAGAGAAAGGTGAATGCCTCAAGGCCAAGACCTGTTTACCACAGTTAGAGTACAGCATTTTATTCCCTCTGTTGTAGTCTTTTTAAAACCACATGTCATATTTTTAAAAGGTGGACTTCACCTTCTAAGAGACTATGTCCAATGATATATTAAATAGGGTGGGAAAAACAAACTTGATGTTGCCTATAACACTTGATATTTGGTCCATTTTAACCGCTAACTCTATAGACTACTATTTTTTGAGGAAAATATCCAAATGTTGTGTCTACACCATAGACTGGTTCCATCAACTCTGGCTTCAATTGACTTTACATTGAAAAATGTGTACCCCTCTCTCTGTAAAAGCTGCAGTGAGCCTTGTCATTTTGATCTTAAAATGTTTGTATTAACAATCTCTACATGATCCTCTACATGATTTTTATTTCACTAGTTTGTCCATAAATAAATTCCAAAATTGCTCCTATAACTGCAAGCACTGGGAGCTTCATTTGACTGGAGAAAGCTATTGATGACATCAGAGTCCCTTAGTCCTATTCTTTATACAGTCTATTGTCTAGACTAGAGTAAATACACTTAATATAAAGGTTGACCGGAATCATCAATCCTCATTATAGCATAATATATCATTTACTATTGCCTTAATAGCACATCACACAATGGTGGTGCATTGGCCTGTCAATGTCTCAGTCGGATATACACTGATTAACAACACAGGGAAGGCTGGATGCATTGCATTGTTTACCACGCTCCCTCCTGTGACCAAATGCATCAATTCTCAAAGGCCAGGAGAAAATGACAGCTCTCCTCACCTGCCTGTCAACATGTAACAGCATGTCACCTCATGTCAGCTCCACAAAAATCTATTTCCCTCTGACAATCCCAATGGTCACGGCTGCAGTCACCCTTCTGTCACTACCTAAAGGACTGGAAAAGGAAAGTAATTTAACACCACAATCAAACCAAGAGGGTCAAATCCAGCCTAGAGGTGGGAGATATAAAAAAATTAGAACTTTAAAAGACCTCAAAAGAGACAGAAACGTGCAGTGTATAAAGTTATATTTCTTCCCTTTTGTGGTTAAATTTCATGGTCTACTCACATTTTGTGCTAAACTCTAACCTCAAACAAGACATCTACATGCGTTTTTTTATCACATTCTGGGCACATTGTTAAAATACTGACTGAACATTCTTAAGATTATGCAAAAAAAATTAAGGAAATATGAATTTTTGTCAATATGATCCATTCCACAGAGAAGAAAGAAATGTGTGTAAGAGGCAATTTAATTATAAGGGGTTTGTTCTGGTTTCTAAAACAAAGTCTGCTGAAAATTCATGGCAGAAAAAACACTGGCCATTTCATTACAGCCAATGTTTGATGACTTCTCTCTAATGACACCCTTTCTACTATCCACCTATGAAAATCCAGCTTCATATTTTCTGTTCTAAATTCCCACTGGACAACATTATACACTGGAATGAGACTTTTACTGATGTATGCTGAACGGCTGTTAGGTTTAAACACACTCAGTGGGGAAACATTTGCACAATGGCAGAGCCTGAGGCGAAGGCCAACACCATCTCCTCGCCTGTGCGCACGCAGAGCTGCTTCTAATAAAACGCTCATGCAAGCTGCTGGAACAGACTAAAGGAGAGAGTAATACGAAAGAACAGAGACACTCTTGTTTTGAAATAAGACAATCACTGCTGAAGGACAAATGGTTTTATATTACAAGACATAGAATGAGTAAAAAGTAAAAAGAGTCATTTTCTGACCAAATTATAACCCCAGCTGAGTTGTTGGTTGTTTGTCTTAGTGTTTTTTAAAACTCCTTACTAACGTTAAATTGAGACAAATATAGAGCTGCTTAATTTTATCGCTGCTCATTTTATTTCATATTGCTGTTGTGGGCAAGACATTTCACCTAAGCCATGCATTCAGTTTGTATGTTGAGTGGTGGTTGGGGTAGTCAGAAGTGCAGATCAGCAGCCACATTTGTGTCAGTCACAGCAAAGACAGCTGTGGTTACAGTAAAGGGCCCATATTAGGCCGTTTTTTCTAATCCATGTTACAGTATTGTTTGAACACACAAACTCTGCATATTTAAGAGTTCTTCTCTCAAAGACACGCCTTGTGATGTCATACAGGAAATGCCCCGCTGTGTTTATAAACTCCATACACTTTCACTAGAATAATTTGTCAGACCTGGAATTGCCAATCTCTACTGAACAGATAAAAGGTAGCTGTTAAATTGAAAACTACCGCTTCATGACATCACAAGGTGGAACAGAGCATTTTGAGCATTGGAGATGTAAACAGATTAGGGTTACTGAAACGTATGTGAATTAAACAAACCAGAGCTTCAGTTATGTTTTTGAAGAGGTAACAGTCTAACATGACTTAAAGCTCACAAGAGTCAATTTAGCATAATATAGAACCTTTGATGACCTATAATTCCAATCATTAAAGATTAAAAAAACGTGCTATCTGCGTGCAGCTTTGAATGCTTAAAACACACTATTTTAATGGATATCATTCTATGCTTTGCACATGGGTGAGTTTTTACTACATCTGAATTTCTGAAAAATGTCCAGTGATTTGGAAGATCGAGTTGAAATTCGTCAAGGGGCTGCAGTAAGGCCATTTCGAAGCGTGCCACTGGGTTTTCTGCTTGACTGAGGGACAATGAATCCCAAATTAGGATGAATGAGAAGGTGTGGAGAAATCCTGGCTGCTACACTCCAAAGCCTGATGTGCTGTCAGGGCTGCTGAGTGCACACTTCCCCTCCCAAACCTGTACCGACACACTCCAGAAAATATATTACACCATGTCATGCAAAAAAAGAGAGATTGCAAATGATTCCCCTGCATAATTGAAGACATACAAATAGCTGTGGAGCATACTGAAGCTTTGCGACAGGGCAATGTTTCAGCATCTGGAGGCAGTCACAGAGATGAGAGAAAGAGAGCGAGAAAGAGAAAAAGAGAAAGAAAGAGAGAAAGAGAGAGAGAGAGAGAGAGAGAGAGAGAGAGAGAGAGAGAGGTGCTCAAAAGGAAAGCGACTGAATTGATTCGTGGCAGCCAAGAAAGAAGAACAGTTTTGGACTACAAAGAGACACAGACAGTGGTTTTAAATTATGCAGAAAAGAAACCACTTTGAGAGATAATGTCAAAGAAAAATGAACATGTAAAGGCTGGAGTACAACAAAGGGAATACTGAAGTTATGTGAAGTGGAAAAAAGAAGATTTTCTGTTTTTTAATGGAACACTTTTGTACCAGTTTTAGTTTAGTTTTGTTTTCTTTTCAGTCAAAGCGGGGGTGTACTGGTTGTCTAGTAAACTAAAAGCAAGTGTGCAACAGTAATGAGAAGCAGTCAGCCTTTGTAGCAATGGGAAATAGAAACTAGAGATCAACAGTCCGCCCATATGGAGAGAAACTGGAAAAAAAATATAAGAATTTACCAGTGTCTTTGTAGCAAATCTTTATATAAGGTTAATATGTGTCATGTGTGGTTTACTCCTGAAAGTGGCGCCTTTTACATTTTTCTCATACAACTATATTATGAAAAACTAGTAAAGATAAAGTGAACATTTTGCATGACATTTACAGGTAATGTGCATGATAAACTACATTTTCTTTGTATGTTCCATGTAATGTTTGTATTCTTTAGTTATATGTTGCAAAAAAAACAATCAGA